CCTACGCCCCTGACTTTGGAATAAACGCTGCATGGGGCCCTGGCCCAAATTGATAAAGGCCAACCTGTTTGAGACACACAAAGTATAAGGAAGGGTGAAAATCTTAAATTAAACTCACCCCTTCTAAGTTAAGTTAAACCCTCCCCCTTAAAGTTGGAATTGATATTATTAGAATTGCTCTGGGATATTGCACAATTAATTGCATTGCATATTATGATAATATTTCCTATGAACTGGAACTCCAATAGGATTTTAATTTTCCTATTAGAATCCACTGAATATGTCAGACAGAAAATCATTCCTATTAATTGGAATTTTTCGAATAGGTTAAAATTGTCTTATTGACACAGAACTGCATACTGTAGATAGATAAGCTTATATGTTATGTTTTGTTATAGCTGACTCATAGACGGATTTTCTGGGGTGCGAAGTGCTACACAATATTATTTCTGCTTAAAACAAAGTATCCACCTCAAAAGAGTATCAAACCCCAATATTTGGCATAATAAATCAATAATTAAATAGTCCACTCCAACGTGCAGAGTGTTGATGATACAAAATAAACGCGTAGGAGTACACTCGAACAGAAAAAGTGCAACACTCTGAAACTAATTGCTCCTCGCTTGCATTCACTGGTTTATTGGAGCAATTGTAAAGTTTTTAAACTCTATTATCTCCCCTGAATAGAGTTTATACAGTGCCTTGTCATGCGAATAGCTTGCACGCAAGGAACATTTGGAATTTTACGAACATTATTTTTAGTTTGTAATTCTTTTAGGAAATAGACTTGCCTAGATTTAATCTTTACGCCCCAAATATTATTTACATCGGAGTTGCATCATAAATTGTACTCGAATTCAAACAACACAATGTCAATGACTTTATACTAAAAGTAAAAGCATATTTTCTATTGGCCTATTGGGTTTACACTTTTACAGGTTCATTAAGATTTAACTTTAAGTCTTTAACTCTCTTAAGTCTCAACAGACAATCGGACATGCCAAATCCATTGATATGACAAATTGACAACTTCAAAAAATTTTTTTTCGAAGCTAGAAATCAAATCCTGGGATACTTTGTTTTCTGCTCTTTAGACTCCCCCTTGCGGCTCTAGTGCTCCACCCCTAGAATATAGACCTTACTGGGGTTTGGTGTCACACTTTGTATTGCTTCAGTCACCTGCTCACGGTTCACCCCCCTAAAATTTCTAGCACCACCCCAGTAAAAAATATGAAAATCCGTCTATGAGCTGACTGAGTCAGAGCTATGACTTTTGCTTGGATCTAATGCATTTTGTGGTGTGTATGTTCACAGAAGGTCATTATCTAATTGTAATACACTTATCAATGAATACAAATCCGAGGGGGAGGAAAAATGAGGAAGGGATGGAGATCTGACAAATTTTGGGTAAAATTCCATGGGTTGTGGTGACAGATACCAACAAAATATTGTATCAAAACGTCACCACCTAGGTACAGCTTAAGTTCCAAACTATGTACTAACATTCTCTGTGTCAAAATGAAATTTTGGACAACTAGTTAATATTGTGTGTGATTTTACTGATTTATTTAGTAGTTCAGGAAATATTATGTACATTAAGCTTGTGTTTCACACAGCACCTTTAGAAACTTAAGCTTAAAATGTTTCTCAAAGAATTAAATTGTCCATCATTCTTTTTAAAATAGTTGTCAGGGCTATATGTGCCAAAAAATGTTAGTAATACTAAAACAGCTTTGTCTTTGATTTAATTTCCTTTTATTAATAAAACTATCCATGATAACCTTGAAAATGGAATATTTATAACAAAAAATAAGGAAGATTCACGAGAACATCTCAAATTTAATATTAATAATTCTTTAATCCATGCATGAAATTAGCGCAAGACTTACTCTTTGGTGAGTAAAATCGTGTGGCATTATAGAAACTCAGAGTAAGATCATGATAAAGTGGGGCGCTTTTTGGCACATTGCAACTTATTGGCACATTGTTAACATTCATTGTCAGCATTCTTTCTACATAGTTTGGGCAAAGTCATTGTCTTTAAAGCAGAACACCCAACCTATCCATCACGAATTTCAAAATCAATATTCCAGGTATGGGAACATTTGACCAAAATTAAAACTTTTTAATTTTGGTCAAATGTTCCCATCCCTGGAATAATATTGATTTTTAAATTCCTGATGGATGTGATGGGTGTTCAAGGCAAATCTCCACCCTTTGCCCGTAACTGCATGCCTTCCCAGTGATTAACATTAATAGGTGCATATATAAGCAGAAGGGTTTAAAAGCCTGGTTTACACTAGCAATTCTGCCGGCGATTTTTCTCCTCCAGGCAAATGTGGTCGAAGGAATGACATGCAAAAGACTTCACTTAGAATTGTTTACTTCTGAAAAGCGACTCTATACTTTTGTGTGCGAGTTCACTCATTTGCATCCGTCAGAAACACAAAATCGCCGACAAAATTGCTAGTGTGAACCAGGCTTCAAAATCGTCTGTACATCTTTAGTATTTTAACACAAAATAAGTGAAAGACATAAAACTATGTAAGAATAAGACACAAAACAAGATTTTACTGTCTACTATGAAAGTATGCTTTTGTTTGTGCCCACATTACACATTAGAAAACAGTTAGGCCCTACACAAGTCTATTATGGATCTAACAAGGAAAACAGTTAGGCCCTACACAAGTCTATTATGGATCTAACAAGTCTGCTAGTCTTTACTTAACCGGCCATTTAAATAAAAGGTAGCCTAATTTGTTTCATTACATCTTTTGTACGGTAACACAAAATAGGTAAAGACCTAAAACTGTCTAATAAAATGAATGATACTATCTACTTTGAACCTATGGTTTTGTGTATGTCACATAACGTTACAGAAGTCTATCATGAATCCAATAAGTTTACAGTAATCTTTACTTAGGCCATTTGAAAAGCAATTTTAGATTAAAAATACTTAGAAATTGTTAATATTTTTATCCCACTCTGACTTCATCTTTCTGAATAATGGAGCTGTATACTGTGTTAATTAATATTATGTTTAATTTATTACCTTTTACTCCACACAATCAGGTTCATTATTTGAGTGTCCGTACATCGTTGTTTAGGAAAGTATGTTGAACGTCTTCGTGGTGCTGACAGGAACATGGAGATATTCACATGTCCTACATGTCGCTCAGAGTTTACGCTCAAATCAAACCAAGATGTTGCTGAACTGCCATGCAGTTATTTCATTAAGAATATGCTGGAAATTATGGCAATTCAACGAAAAGCAAAAACATCTACTGCATGCTCACGCTGCCAAGATCCTGCCATTAATCACTGCGCATCATGTGAAATATTTCTGTGTAAGAAATGTTCAGAGTTGCATGATAGCTGGCCTGCCAACAAAAACCATAATGTGTTATCGCTACAGGAAGTGAGCAATCCTGAGCGTGAAGTCGAAATGAGAAGCAAGCTTTACTGTATGAAACATAAAGACAAAGTACTTGAAATATATTGTGAAACATGCAAGGAACTTTGTTGTATGCTTTGCCTGTTGTTAAATCACCAGAAACAAAACCACTCGTGTGTGGCAGTTTGTGAGGTCGCACAGAAGCAAAGAGAAACATTGCAATCAAGGTGCTCAACATTTGATGAGAAATTATCTGAAGGAAAGAAAGCATTAAGCAACATTTCTAAGGTTATGGATGCTCTTGAAAAGAATGTTAAAACTGCTAAAGATCAAATCAAAGAACAAAAGGTTATCTTGAAGATTGTGGCAGAAAAACTTGATGAGAGAGCAGAGAAAATGAATGAGGAAGTGGACAAGATTTATGGTGAATTACACAGTGAACTGAGCAAACAACATGATGAAATGAAAGATTATCTTGATGAAGTCCAAGCTTCAGTGTCCCTACCAAGAAATCTCCTAAAGAGAGGAAGTATTGAAGAAATTCTTTCATCACAAAAATTGATTGATGGGAAAATTGAGAAATTGGGAAATGAACGGCCGGAGAATCTGACCGCAGTGAATGATGGTAGTATTCAGTATGTACCTGACAACATTGGTAATATCAATGTTGATGAAATTGTTGGCAAATTGGGATATGTACATGTAGCAGGTATGTTATTGTAGCAGGTGCAAGGTATGTAAACTTTGCAATTTTGTTCATTTTATACTTCATAAATTATAGACCTTTATTCAGACTTCTCCAAGCTAAAGTTCTGAAAGCCAAACTCAATTTAAAGGATTTAAGTGCCATGTCAGCAAGGTATTATGGGTTCAAATTCCGGCTGACGACCATTTTATGAACTGATTATATAGGTACGTAAATCATGGAAACGGTTTTTTGCAATCTGAGAATTCTTGCTTCTTTGATCTGATTCCTATTGGGAATGTAGTAATGTAACGGTATGCCTGATGAAATTTTACATCAATATTGATTAAATTGTTGGTAAATTAGTTTATGTACAGTAGGAGGGTTTTTTGGTTTAGTTGTCAGACGGGTGGGTAGATCAGGAATTTCATTCCAGCTGAAACAAATTTGTTTGTTCCGACTGGGATTTATTAAAAAACATGGTTGGAACTCTGGCAATTGACCTAACCTATGAGTTGTCAACAGTTTCCTCTTGACATTAGTAAAATCGTTTGCTATTATACGGACTAAAATAGCAAAGTTCTGACACACTAGGGCATTTGTGTACAGTAGGTAATCCGGTACCAGTAAAATCGTGTGGTGTTTACACAAAATCAAATTACAAAATGTTGTGCAATAGCTAGGTAGGTACGTTTCTCAAGCGGCAAACAAACTTAAAAAGTATGTTTAGTGCCTCATCTGGTAAAAAAAACCCATAAAATGAAGAGATTTTAGATGGTACGCCAAAGAGAAAATGGTCCCTGAAGTTCAGTAGTTTTTGCTTGTATTGCATGCTGTATATAAATATGGCTTCAATTTTGCAGCATCAATTATATTTCTATTTAAATTAACAATATTTAACTATTTTATGTTTCTTAACTGGCAAATGCATTTAAAAGATAGCTAACTCTATAAACTAAAGAATAAAGCTAAAACAAATCAATTTTGAGAAGTACGCCAAAAAGATTAATTGTCGGTTTTGAACACTTTTTATATCTTTTTATACTGTCTTACCATAATCTTACAAACCAATACAGTAGAAACCTGCTATCTGAAACAGCCAAGGAACACAAGAATACGTTCGAGGTAGCTAGGTAGGAGTTCGAGATTATCAAATCATTGTCAAATTACAAAAATAATAATCCCCGGCCGACCACGGGTTTTGATCGCCCGGAGACTTGCGCCAGGGTGCGATAATTCAATATTTTTAGCCGTACCTGACTGGTACTCCGACAACTTTTGCCGCGTACCTGGTCTGGTACAAACTTAAGAGTCAAGACGTACCTAAGACTACTTCCGAGTCATGCGTTTTTATACCTACGTATAGTTTACTGGTTCAAAAGCAAAAAAATGTATGGGCAATTTTGTACAAATGAATCTTTAATTATGGTATTTGTACAACATAATATAACAGTATACAAGGCGTCGACGTTGTGACTCGAATGCCATCGCTCATTTACAGTGGATTTACCGTGGGTGCTAACAGTCTGACCTCAGCTACATACTGTGTAGTTTTCCTCATTGCATGGGCCTAAAAAAACCCCTGTGGTTCCGGTTTCATATCGCGAAAAAATTAGGGTAGGTAGGTCGGAAATAAATTTTTTTTAAATATTTTTTTCATGGTTTTAGCGGTTTTTTGCTGGGCGTTTTTCAGTAGAGTCCCGACATCAATATTAACTAGAGATGCGTAGTTCCTACGGACGAATTTAGGCAATTTGTTTCAATAATTATTGTGACATCAGACGCCATTTTGGCACGCTGTACGAGCATCCCGTAACCACCCGGAGAAAATAGGGAGGCATGGTCAATCGTGTTGAAAAAATAATAGGGTGGGCAGTAGAAGAAATAGGGTCGGTCGGGAAACCGGAACCACAAGTATTTTATTTTTAGGCCTTGGTATAGCATTGACAATTAAGCCCAGGTCACACTACACAACGATAACGGCACGATAACTTGTAAACACGCGATGATTGGTAAAAAAATTATGTTGGTGTCCAAACTACAACAAAAACGATAAAATTATCGGCGTTTGACGATAACGATTTTAAAATCGCTCACCCGAGCGATTTTTTTTCAGTCGGACGATGACGATAAATTTTTTGATCAAGCGCAAAGATAACCTTTTGGCTTTTTTCATCCCAAAATATGTCGGATGCGTGGAATTTACATGTACAGCTAAAGTTCTTCACGGTTTTGAATACTTTGGCAGGTTTGCTAGTTATTGCTAGAAAGAAAATGTAAGTACGCGAATAGCAAATTTTCGCGTACCTACGTGGTACTTGCCTAAAAACAAAGAAGTACCAGACCATAAATTTGGCGTACCTCCGGTACGTTGGTACGCGAATTATCGCACCCTGCTTGCGCACATGTTAGACTCGATCCTTGGTTCGTGTTACAAGACGGGTCGTATATGTCGACACATTCCACACAGTCAGTTTTTTTTAACAATTGTGCTGTAGGTGCAGTCTTAATTAAACTGAAAGAGTGCATTCTCGATAAGTCAGTGTTCCACATTCATGTTAATTGTGTTTACGCTACAAAATTAAACACGTGCAAGCCAACTGAGTTTATTTAAATCATTAAGACATTATAGAGTTCGAGCGCGTTTCTATCAAAGGAAGCAAAACTATTTAGTGATAGCCAGAAGTTCGAGTTAACTGAGTTGGAGATAACCGATTGGCGATTAAAAGTGATTCAAATAGTATTGGGTAAATCCACAAAAAATGCGTGACGATTTATAAAGATTTGAGATGGCAGAGAATTCAAGATTAGCGAGTTGGACATAGCCGGGTACTGTATACACCATGCAATGATCCTTCCAAGTTCTTTTATTGATCTTAGCTCTGTGTAAGTTCATTTCAGCTATATACATGGTGTTGTCAGATTATAATTTTAGATTTAATATTAACATGTGAGAAACAGTATCTCCATTCAGGGCCGGCAATTTGCGCAAGTTGGAGTCCTCGCTCAGTTTGGGGCTTCTGTCTGCTTATTTTTTAATTCAGGCACCTTTAAAGAGGTGCTCGCTTTCTGTTGGTTAATATTGACTTGTGGCATCCCAGGACCGGAAACATTTTGCAACTGACGTAAATTAAAACTATAATGGTTTCGAACGTTTTTATTTATGTTACTAATATGTAATAGGATGATTTCTTGTTAAATTAGGATAAAACAAGCACTTGTGAGTTTTTCAAAGACCTCAAATACTGTAGCACTCGTCGTTCCGACTCGTGCTATTTTGATACTTTTTGAAAAACTCACTCGTGCATGTTTTATTCAAATTGCACTCGAAACCATCTTATTCACCTATGATAACAGATATATATCTTGTAAAGATTTTTTCTGGCTTATTTTATTACATCCATAAAATTCATTGTTTACTGTAGGCGGTGTTTCTGCTATGTACAATCTGAAAATTACGTCATCCAGTATTTTGAAAGGAGAGATTGCCAAAACTGGGAAGGTATATAAAGCTAGAAATACATGCATGCAGAAACCCCTCGCCTTTATTTTCTAAACATTGATTTAACATGAAGTATTAGTAATTGGCGTTGCTGAGCGCAGGCTTGCGTTGTGCGTCAAATTAAACACGATTATTTTTAAAAAGTTTATTTTTTTTGTATAAAATGGCAAAAATAGTTGAAAGTTTAGTACTTTTAACTATACAACAATGAATTTCTGAAATATATACTGTAGGTATGTTATTTTGAATTTTGTGAGCTTTGATGTAATTATATATAAACTTAATCTGAAACACTTCGTAAAATGTTATGAAATGTTAATTCAACTGATTCAAGTAAACTGCTTTTTCTGATATAAGCTGTTTTTAGCTTAATGATTTTCATGAAAAATTTCTTCAATTCTGATTGGCCAAGAGCAGTGCAATATTTTCGAAATACAGTGCAAAAAAAGAAATACAGTACAAAAAAAGAAATACAGTGCAAAAAAAGAAATACAGTGCAAAAAAAGAAATATTCAGTGCAAATTTCATTGACTATTTAGGCTTTCTGATTGGCTTAAAATATGAAACAATAACAAAGATAGCCAATAAGATACAGTAATTTCCAGCAGAAATAATACAAAAAACCCCAAACATTTTGAAGTTTTTAGGAGTGACAAAAATGGCTGGCGTTTTTTTATTTTGTAAAAAAATGGCTGGCGTTAATTTTTTCATGTATATTATTAAGGGATCGGTCATTAATTACAGGGGAGGGGGGGGGGGGGGGAGAGGGGGTCAGATATTTGTGTGCATGAAAAAGGGGGGAGGGGGCAAAAAATGTTTGTGCAATACAAATACCTGCCCCGCATGACCTCGTCGTACCATAAGACCTACAGATAAAAAGTAGAGAGCAGTAGAACATTATTACTGTAGTAAACTCCAACACAACACCATTTATTAAACTGATTTCAACATAAACATGTACATTGGAACAGCCGTTGACTCAATAAATGGTAAAGAATATATAAATTACGATCAATGTATATAGGGCATAGTTGCCAACTCTCACGGATCCACTGGAGCATCATTGAAACCTCGTGGTGAGCTCACAGCTTGTTACTATCTCACGCATTCTCACGGATTTCGAAAATAACCCAACTGATTCTTAAATATGTTGGCTTTGTATTCAACAATATAGTTTTGTATATCTAAATAAAAGCTACCAAAATTTGTGTGTATAAGGTATAGAAGACTCTGACAATGCCATTTCCAACGATCTAGAGACTCCATATTTTCAAAAATTTTTCAACATATTTTCAACTATGGTGGCGCCTCGTGCCCCAGAAGCAGCATCTCACGGATGTTTTTAAAGTTAGGCAAGCATGATGATAGGGTGAACATGATATGTGGCTTCACTTTATAAGAACTTTAAATTACGAATGTGCCTTTTGTTATTTGCATGTGGGGGGGGGGGGTAAGTATAATTGTGTTATCCTCAAGGGGGGCGCAACAAAATTTTAGCATCTAATTTTTCATCTCCACTAAACCCCCTCCCCTGTAATTAATGACCGGTCCCTATAATAAGTAATAGTATAGTTTCTCGTGCAATTTGAAAAAAAACATGCACTCGTGAGTTTTTCAAAGACTTCAAATTGCACTCGTCCTTCGGTCTCGTGCAATTTTGATAGTCTTTGAAAAACTCACTCGTGCATGTTTTTTTTCCAAATTGCACTCGAAACCATACTATTACCTATACTATAATAAAACAAATTGAGTTCAAACTATTGAGTAATTTCAGTTCGGTGTTAAAATTAATTTGCACTCCTTTACTTTTCAATTTTTTTCGCAAACTAAACAGGGTAATCTAGGGAACTTACAGCTATACATATAGTTGAAAGGGAAGCAAGTGCATTGTTTTACGCAAAAAATTAAAAGAACAAAATTCATAAACATTAAACATTCAAAGCAAACTTGCCCGATTTTCCATAGTAAATCAATTCTTATTTCTTCAAAGCAAAATTGCTTTAAAGCTCATTGTATGAAACGATTTTCCAGCTCTTTTTGAAAATTGAACTGAAATTCCCTAAGAGATGTGCCATGCAAATGTTGCTTATCCCACTCCTGGCAAACAGCCCATATTTTGAGACAAGTGAGTCCACCCACTATAAAACAAAACGCCAGCGATTATTGATGAACTTTAGACTTCGCTAATGCTTTCATTTCCCCGGGTGTAAATAGCCGAGCGGAATTAGTGCCCTGGCCCCGGGTTTAATCCCGGAACGTAAGATTTTTATAAAAGTTATATTTTTATCTTGGTGATGTGTATATTAATATTGTATTTAAATGTTAATTGGAACAAAGTCATCCTAGTCATATCGAATAAGTTAATTGTCTATATATTAATAATTTTATTGAAAATTGTGTACTGTAGGAACAACTTTTGAATATTTATTTAAATTTTTAGGGAATGGCAAACATAAATTGTCTAATTCTTCTTTGTTATTCTCACTGCGAAACAAAGACAATCTTCCTCCATTTATTGCCAACATCAAGCACGGTCGGAATGCGATCTACTGTTCGCCTAGTTATGGTCCAATTTTTGCTGGAGGTAATGATCTGTGTATTTGTAGCAATTCTCAAGTTAATCAGCAATCATACAGCAGGTTTGGACACACATATCAACTTCCTCCAGGTTATTTTTATGACAGTGAACAAGCAAAGAACCTTCTTGCTGGTCAGTACAAATTTTTAACAACAGAAATTGAAGTCTTTAACTGACATTTGCCCGGCTTTGTTCACTTCTTAACTAAACATAACATTGCATTGATCCCAACCGGTTTTATCAATGAATTTTAGCCAGTGATAGAATTGCAATATTATAAGTATAAAAATTAATAGAATATTTTAATTCACGTAGGTTAAAATTGGTCATTAGCCTCACCGAACATGGGCTGCCTACCTCACGGGCGTTCTAGTTGCGGGCGATGTCAATAAACTTGGCACCTGGATTCGTAATCTCTTTAAAATAACATGATCCTTAAATTCACTCTAACCCGTCACCCACAATGAACGCCCGTGAGGTAGTCAAACTAGCCTGCATGGCAGGCGGTACGTAGGAAATACCGCCTGCCGCAAAACTGGGTGTAAATGAACTACCGCCCCTGAAGCATCAAGGCTATTTATAGATGCATTAATTAAGTAAATATTCAAAATTAGCCACTCCCAAGCTGCTCCCAAGTCCCAACTGCCCAACATAAAATAAATTCCTTGATTCTCATCACCGCCCGACTGAATTTTAAAATCCTCGTGAAAACGTTTTATTTTTCGTTATACAATATAAATGTACCGCCCGACAAAATAATTCAAGACAGTTAATTTTTTCATATTTTATATGGAGTTTTTATTGCCATTTTAAACTTCCAATTTGAAACAAACAGAATTTTGAGTGAAGTTTCATTGTATTTTACAGTCGATTTCAGCTGACTTTTCACCGTAAGGTTCCGAAGTTCATTCGGAACTTCCGAAGTACATTCCTTATTTGGGAAATTGGGCGCGAACTTCGAAACGAACTTCGGAATGAACTTCGGAATGAATTTCGTAAATACGATTTACAAAATACGCGTGTGACTTCAGGCATAGTCTTCAGGCCACATTCATCACATCTCAATTCGCGATTTATATATGAACCCAGAGCTATGAATCATTTCTCACAACAAGGACGTGCTCTTCCCATGAGTGTACGAGAGGGAATTGTACAATTATGGCTGAAACAAAAACGACCAAGTGAAATTGCGTTAGAGTTCAAATTGCCATTACGCACAGTCCATAACATTATTGAAAAATTTATCGAGCATGAAGGTAATCTAAAACCAACACAACCAGAACAATTTCGAAGTGCTCGAACGGATGATGTGATTACATACATCGAGTATACCAAAACGATGAAGCCGAGTACTTATGCCGTTGAAATTCAAAAGGGACTTGAGGAGAATAGAGTTTGCTTACCGCAAAATGTGCCAAGTGCAAGTTCAATAAGCAGGGTATTAAAAGACAACCTTGGGTATACAAGAAAGAAACTTACTATAGTCGCGCAAGAATCTCTCAGACCCGCTACCACAGAACGCTTGACGCAGTTTTTGGCGGAATGCAGTACTATTGATCCTAACACGATCCATTTTTTCGACGAGTGCTCAGTTGTTCGAACTACCGGCAATAGAGTTTACGGTCATGCTCCTCTCGGAAAGAAAGCAATTGAGATTCAAAAATATGCATCGAACGCGACTTTTACTGTTAATTTACTTGTAAATATCGATGGAATTTCTCATGTTGATATATTACAAGGAGCGTCGAACGGACTCGAACTGTTAAACTTTTTTGCTGAAGCAGTACAGCAACGTGACCTATTTGACAATCCAGTAATAAAGCACGGTGATACAATTATTATGGATAATTGTGGGTTTCATCATGGCGTTCACACTGAGCCCATACTAAGAAATATTATTGCGGAGTAGATAGATAGATAGATAGATCAACTTTATTTAAACACATTGGCCTTTTCAGCAAAAGCTGATTTCCAAAAGGGATGTGTACTTACAAATTATTATTTATATACTAGCTCTAATATTACATACATAACAAATACAATTATATACCTATTTAGACAAAAAATTAACTACTACTTTAAGTCGAGATTAAGGTCGAGGAAGATAGCTTTTTACAGAACGAATTATACGATACCGAATTGCGTATCTCTTCAGGTATCTGATTCCATAGTTTAGCCCCACTATATTGGAAGCTTTTTTTTAAGGATTCCGTTTTTGGTCTTGGAATATAAAACCTTGTTGAAGAACCTCTCAGATTATGGTCATGAATGGTATTCAGATTTTGGAAAGCTTCACATAGTCGTTGGGGGGCTAAACCATTAACTGTCTTGTACATGAGCCTGGCTTTCATTTGTGCCCTACGCTCTTCAAGTGTTACCCAGCCTAGAGATTTTCGTGCCAAAATAGACTGACCATGTTCATTTTTTAAGTTCATGATCAACCTAGCCGCTCTGTTTTGGAATTTCTGTAGACGTTCACTTAGGCCTTTATTAAGTGTATCCCATACTTCACAGCAATAATCAAAATAAGGTTGGATTAAGGCATTATAAACTTTTATCAAAATGTCTTGTTCGACATACTCCCTCATTTTTCTAATAGCCCCAATACCTGATGATATTTTACTGCTAATATGGTTAATGTGTTTTTCCCAACTCAAGTTTTCGTCTAATTCAACTCCAAGAGCTTTGGTATTTTTAACTTTTTTAATCAATTGATTATTTATTTTAACTCCTTGATGGGTATCAATATTACTTATTTTATGTCGTGTTCCAATTAAAACATACTCGGTTTTCGCTATATTTAGACTTAGTTTATTTGCACAAAGCCATTTCTGAACATTCCTCATGTCTACGTTCGCCCTCTCTTCCGCCTCACTAATTGTTCTGCCTACTGCCGTTAAGTTAGTATCATCAGCAAACATTCTTGGAGTTGTGCGTTCTAGGCAGCTTGGCAAATCATTTATATACATAATAAATAAGAGAGGGCCGAGTATACTTCCCTGAGGAATGCCACAAATGATTTCTTTCTCCACCGAGAGTATATTGGCCAATTGACAACTTTGAGTTCGGTGCGTCAAATAGCAACGTAAAAGATTTAATGCTTTCCTTTGGAAACCATACATTTCAAACTTACTTAACAGTATTTCGTGGTCGACTGTATCGAATGCTTTTTTAGGTCAAGAAAAACAACTAAGTTATACAGCCCACGGTCCATGTTGGTATACCATTCGTTCGTACAATCCAATAATGTAGTAGTTGTGGAATGATAAGGTCTGAAACCAAATTGGTGTTTTGAGAAAAGATTATTCTGGTTAAGATACTCATACATTTGATCATACATAATTCTTTCCATAAGTTTACTTACTACAGGAAGGATTGATATCGGTCTATAGTTGTCCAACATGGACCGCTGACCTTTCTTAAACAATGGAATAACCCTTGCAGCTTTCCAATCAGAAGGAAATTGATCCGAGTCAATTGACATATTAAAAATCTCAGTAAGAGAAGGTGCAATAACTGGAGCTGCTACTTGTAGAATTTTAGCTGAAATTTTATCCATTCCAGTCGCTTTGGTGGTAGACAAATTAACTAGAAGAGTGTAAACCAATGTTACACTCACTGGTCGAAATGAGAAACTGTTCTTTGTCTTAGATTTTTGTTGAGTAATAAAATCTCGAAAACTAACGTCATTGTCATTTGGAATAGACTCAGCAAGCTTTGGGCCAATATTACTAAAATGATCATTAAAAATGTCGACTAATTCGTCGGTCGATGTAACAGTTTTACCTGGAAGTTTAATTTCATTAATCGTAGTCTGTTTTCTGTTTCGACCTAATATATCGTTTATTGTTCTCCAAGCATATTTAGGATTCTGTTTATTATTTGTGAATTTGTTTGCATAATAATCTCTTTTAGCACTGCGCAAAGCAGTGTTGGCAACATTTCTAGATGACTTATATAGTCTCCAGTCTTCTTCTTTATTTGTCTTTATTGCTTTACGCTTAAGAGCATCTCTTTTAAATAATTTTTCCTTTACTTCCCGGCTTACCCAAGGAATATTGCCCCCTTTTCTTAATCTTTTTACTCTCACAGGGGCATGTTTATCCAGCACATCTACAAAAAATGTTTTCCATAACCGCCACATTTCATCTACATTTCTTTTAAATCTTATTTCTTCCCAGGGTATATTTTGTAAGTCATATAGAAAGCCTGAAACATTGAAATTCTTAAAATTTCTATACTCGACAGAACCTTGTAAATCAGTTTTTATTCTTGTACTTATTTTCCGAATACTATAAATGAGGCTGTGATCACTAATTCCGAGATGGACTACACCTGAAAAAAATTATTTTTTCAGGCATTGACGCAATTACTACATCCAATAATGATTGGCTAGACTGGGTAATACGCGTAGGGTTATTAATTAATTGTGTAAGCTGATATAATTCCAAAACGTCTTGAAGCTTTCTAGTGGTGGACAAAGTTGGTTCTAGCATATTACAATTTAAATCTCCCAAAATATAAAATTCTATATTTTCATCATCAATTGATTTGATTAGCCTCTCAATTTTTATAAACACTTCACTAGCGGAACATGGTGGTCTATAAATACTTGAAACTATAAAAGATTGACTATTAGCCTGCTTAATTTCCACACAGACAGCTTCAAGGCCTGTTGGAACTAGATCAGGGCGATTTTCATAATTTATATGGCGTCTTATATAAATACATACCCCTCCTCCATTTCTATTCCGATCAGCACGTAGCAAGTCATAACCTTCAATGCTAACAATCCCATCGGAAATAGTGGAGTCCAAACGGGTTTCATTAACTGCTAAAACATCTAAATATTTATCGTGAAGTAATAATCGGATTTCATCAAGGTGTTTCGGAAGGCTAACTACATTAAGCATAGCCATCTTAAAACCCCTTGTTTTCGGAATATTTAAACAGGCATCATTAGCACTCCTCCTCGACCCGTCCTCATTTCAATTATGCGAACTTAAGAAATGTGAAAAGTTTGCCTGAAGCAAAGAGCTACCTTCTCGGTTTAAATGCAGTCCTCTACTATTTAAATGAGAACGACTAATATTACTATTGTCTAAAAATGCAAGCTTTTTCTTCAAGCAGCTTGACTTTAATATATTGTTAGTTTCATTTACCTTCGTTGTAAGTTCCTCTCTATCGCATCTAGTGACTAAAGAAGAGATGATGACTTCAGTATCATTGCAATCCTTTTTAAAATTCTCTGCTAACTCGATAATTTTCTTTGCAATTTATTTAGGACTTGAATAGCGTATGTCGTTTGTGCCTGCATGGATAATGAGCTTATCGGGTTGCTTTCGTGCAGTGGGCTTTAAGAAATCAGACATATCATTAACTGTTGCACCTGAGAAAGACTTAACTATTACGTTTCTGTCAGTGTTGGATACTTCCCAACCTTTTACATATTTTATAATCGAATCTCCAGCTATAACGACCGTTTCTTTAGTGCGTTGTCTTTCTGCTGTTCTTTCCTCACTTGCCTTATGCGCTTCTCTCGTTTGCTCGTTTTCCTTTGCCTTTTGTTCGTTATTCTTCACCTTTTGTTTCTTATTCTTATACTTCTTTTGTTCCTGGTTAATCTGCTGTGACCTCTGCTTGTTGGCTTTCGATTGAGCAGCTTTGTCATCAGATTCGCTCATTTGATTCTTACCAAAGCCCTTTTGTTGAAGGCTTAATTTCTCTTTTGTTTTTGTCGTGTTAGGAATTTCAGCAACACAGCCATGTTTTGGATCTTTAGGTCTTTCTTTGCTAGTGTCCTGGATTTCTTTATTCTGGGGAACCTGTGTAGACTTTAAGATGACGCTGTCATCCTCACTAGCTTCACTGTTGTCGATATCATCACTCAAGACAATATATTGATTTTTTATCCGAGTTTCACCATCTTTGTCCCTGATGTCACCACTGGGACCAATTGTAGAATAATTCTTTGAGGAACCACGGCCAATCTGAGACCTTTTATGATTGTTTACAACATTCCAAGACGCTATAGATTTATTAGCATGACAAGTATGTTGATTTTGATCATCATGTAGAATTTTAATAACGGTGACCAAGCTGTCTTTTTCATTTTCTAAATCTTTGACCTTTGTTCTCAAGTCCGATGTAATACATTTGTAGTTGTTAATCTGCTGTTTAAGTAAAGCATTTTCATCTTTAAGACTAGCCTTCTCTTTAACGAGAAATCCCTTATTAAAAACCGTAGATATTGAGTGTGGAGCAAGATTAATATTTCAACCTCCGTACCATCCACAACTCAATGTTTGTGAATTGTGGTTCCACAGCTTGAAATGTTGGCTACGAAAGTACTCTCGTTTTACCGAACAGTACACGGAGATTGCCACACTGTCTGGACTGAGCAATATTCCAGCGGGGGCATCGAGAGCGTTCTTTAAGTACTGTGGATATATTTTGTAACATAACTGAAACGAAGTGTGGGTTTCGTAAAACATTTTTCTTAATATGCAGGTTTTATGTCAGTCCGAAATTAAAAGTGTTTAATATAGTTCCACCTTCAGATGTGTGTATAATGTGTTTCCCAGCAATATATATATCGCAAAAATTTGGTCACAACAAAGTTTAATAATATACAATCACAATTTAACAGACATCATATGTATTTATAGCGCAAGCGGCCGGGTTCGGCACGCAATGCAATTATGCGGATCATTTCAAGTTGCATGCACGAAATAAACTCCCTTGGCCTTGAACCAACCTCGAATGGCTTTTGAGATACTGATGTACACTCGACTCTTTTGATCTGATATTGTTGACTTTTGTCTTTATATCAAAACAAGCTAGTTAGCGTAATTTTAATTTGTCTTACCTGTAACATACTTGAATGAAATACAGTATATTTGCTGTATACAGAAATACAGCGTTGGCCCTTGCTTTATATGCCACTATAAGAATGCTATAAACTTAATAAAGTACTATAATTAGGCCTCTTGTACAGTAATATTAAGTACTATAATATATAGGCCTCTTGAACAGTACTGAAAATAACACAACTGCACTAGTTCTAAATATAGTCTAGAAGTACTCTAGATGAACAAAATCGCAATGTATATTACATTATTAAAGTCACACAACTTTAATATTGTTGCTTTTCGGGGCATTTACTTCACCTTTCATATCTCTTTTGCATTTTTTGAGCAGAATTCTTAGTTGTTCAGCGTCATTAGCCGTAACATCGGGAATTTTACCATCCAATGCAGTTCTGAGAATTCTTACGTCTCTCAAAAGTTTTGCCTTGTTAATTTTATAGGAACTGTCCATCTCAAACATACGCGGAGTTAGATTTTTCATAAAGTGATACTCACTCTTGGTTGAAAAATTTTCCATCGACGCTACTTGGGTATCAAGGTCGTTTATCGCTGCCTTTCGTTTACTTATGCACATATCAACGGCCTGCCCGGGGGGTACACCCCCGGGATAACCGGGGGGAAACGAGGGGGAATTTGGTATTTTAGCCGTGTATTCTGCCCGTGAACCCCGGGGAAATTACAAACTTCGCAATAATAA